TTTTTTTTAACATGTTCATGTTCATATTCTTCCACGAGGAGCAGATTATTTTGAATAAAATGAGACTGTTTATCATGAGGTTTATTTGAAAAATATGAAAATAATAATTGAAATAAATTTATTTTTATTTATTCTAGTTAGCTGATAATGATAAAAGAGATAAAGAATCGATAGAAGAACAAGATATGGCTGATGAAGCAAAAAAATCTTCGAAAATTCTTTTATCAAGATACATAGTCAATCATCATTTTCTCTATTACATAAGAGAACATATTAATTGTCTTACTCAAAAATAAACATATTTTATTTGAAATTTATTTTAATTAAAGACTAGTTTTATCTCGAAGATATATTTATAAATCTGAAAATAAAACTCTAATAGATAGATTAGAATCAATAATCATCTTATAGTGGTCTAATCAACTAATTTTAACCTTTTACTCGTCATACCACCTATTCGACAAGACTGATCCATTTTCTAGCTCAATTATTATAATCAGTAGAAATCAATCAACAAACAAATATGAGTTCGAGTAGGTTTTTTTTGAAAACTGATTTCCATCACAAAAATCGATGTTTACTGAATAAAAGTTCGTTACTCTGAACAAAGAGGCGAGCTTCTTTCCTTTTTTATTCTACTCTTTGACAAATATACTCTTCACCTTTAAAATATTTCAATATATTATGTTAATATCAATAAATAATCACAATTCGAACCATTAACGAGTTCAACTCTAATACCAACCATTTTAACAAAAAGAAAAAAACCTATTGAATTGTCATCAATCTCAACATCGGTTTAATAGAAAGACATCATCAATTGATCTTCTTCGATTATTTAATTATATGAGAAGAAGACATCATCTATTAGAATAATAGAAGTTGCCTCTTTCTATATCAATCTCTATTAAGATTTTTCCTCATTGGACAATTGGGAGAATTTTTAATAAATTCATAGGGAAATTGACTAATAGTCACTGACCTGGCTAAGCCACTGGTCTCTCACTATTTTCTCAATATCTATTTCAATAATAATAGTTAAGGACAAAGTTTTCTCTTAAAATCTAAAACGTTGAATTTTCTATAAAATTGATAGAAAAATGTCTACCATAGATGTAAAAGTAAAATATCTATTCTATAAATTTAAAGAATATCTTATTTGAATAAGTTTCAAAGATAAAATTCCATATTATTCTACAAATAGATTCTCACATTGCGATATCTAAAAGTGAAACAAGTCATTTTTCAGAGATTGAAAAGTTCGAACGTCTAAATAGGTTTACTTATCTTTTATAACGAATCTCTATTACACAAAATAATCTTTATTTTTTAGATTTCCACAAAAAAAAAAAACGTTTTTGCTTCGTAGTGTTTCATTATTGTTGAAAAATTGATGTGAATCATCTATAAATTATTTATTGAGAGGATAATTTGTTTTTATTTAAAAGGTAACAAGTCATCCAATATGAGTTAACTTTATTCGGAATAAACGCTTTTTCCTCTCGATTAGGTTCAATAAAAAAACTCTGATATATCAGATATTAACCTTTTGTTAAAAGATAAGATTTTCTCTGAATATATTAGCTAGATAGTTTCTCTGCTATGTTAGATTAAATAGAGGATATATTTTATTCGATCTGAGATGATAGTTTCAATTCTTTCAACAGTTATTCATTTATTCAAGACAAACCGAAAATTAATTTCGATATATCTACTTGAAATTTTTTAATCACATATGTTTAGAATGTTTCTCTAATAACTCTTTTGGTTATACTTCTACGGTAGATATTTATCTATGATTTTTCTAGAAAAATTTCTTTCTCATAGATTGATTATGTTTCATACAAGTTTTGATTTATTTTAAATAATTATTATTAAAACTATTCGAATGTCTTCTTGTTTTTTTTTTCATTTATTTATTAGATTTTCATATTAGTTCAAATAGAAATTTTCTTTCACTAGATTTTTAAATTGAGTCATATCTCGAAACTGTTCATCATATATAACTTTTCTTATTTTATTCAAAAGGTTAACTTATTTATATCGTCAACATGTCATTTTTTTCTTATTGAGAATTGCTCAACCAACTTATAGGAAGTTAATTTATTCAGAATTTTCAAGGGGCATGATAATAGAAACTAGGTTAAACTTTTTTTTTCAGTTCAGCTACGTTTTTATTTGTGACGATTTAGAGATTTTTCTCGAGATTAGCTCATTTTAAAATAAAAACGAGTTATTTAAAAAAAAAACTTGATTTTTATTTAATAAAGTTGATAAAAAATTTAGTCCTTAACGGATGATAGTCTTATAGATTTAGTTCATTATTCTCCTTTACTTGACACATTAATTGTTGCCAATTCTACGGGTTTAACAGATGATACATAAATAACTCCTGAAAGATATTGTCATCAACTTAACTAAGACTTAAAATAAAATAGAAAAAAAAAAGAAAATTTTTAATTCATCATCATTGTTGTTATGTTTAGCAAACTTGATGGAATTCTATCTTCAGAATTTAGTACATTAAATTTTTCTCAATGGCTCAAATCAGAAGAGTATATATTAGAAATTTCGAAAATTTTCTTTTTTTCGGAAAAATAATCTCATATTCAAAGAGTTATGAAAGTTTCAATGAATTAATTCATTTTTATTTTCACTTTTCCGTACATATTCCTTTCTTGCGCTCTCTTGTTCGATATAACGTATTGTTTTCTTTTTCTACCCTATCCACCCTTAGTTACATTTGTAAACAAATTTTCTTTCTCTACGGTTGACTCGAATTTTCTTTACATTTAACAAACACACATACACTGTTATACACATACACACATATTCTTATTTACGTCGTCTTAATGGCATCAAGTTCAATGACTCCGGGATAAAAAAAAAAAAATGTTTAATTTGTAATGAAAAGGATGTGGAAAATTCATCATCATTATTTTGTTCAACATGTGCAAATCGGATTGACAACGGAATATCAAATTTGCAGATGGACGATCAGGGTAATAAAAAAAACTAATCTAATAATTTAATATAAATTAATAAACTTTTTTTAGCCGGTTTATTATTTTATCTTAAGGGAAATGAACACTTGTCGAGAATGCAAAAAAATCATTCGATTAGATCAATATGTACTTTTAAATAATAAAAATAAAGTCATTTTTATTGTTTCATATTATTAAATATAACGTTGTTTGTTTTTAGTTCTTTTGCAAATATTGCGCCATAAATGTCAAACGAATCAACGAAATTCATGTCAAAAAAGAAAATCTTACAAAAGTCACTAAGAGAAGTATTCAACAAATTAAAAGAAAAATCTTAACAATAGGTCCAGTGAGGTAATACTAAAATGAAAACTATTCTCATTTTTGATCAGTTCTATATTTAGATTCGTTTCGGATTAAACATCATCAACAATTAAAATAAAACAAGATGAATATTTATATTTATTTATTTAGTTTTTTTGTTAAATCCATCTTTTTATTATTATTATTAAATCATGTTTTACTCTTTATCATTTGTTGAACAATCTTCTTCTTTCTTTAAACGTCACATCTACTAATAGAATCAACTAACACAGTAGAACAATGATAATTAATCTCAGTTGAGATCTTTCTTACTCAAATAATTCCAAAAAGAAATGTCATTAATCAGAATTTTAACTTCAATTTGAAACAAAGATCAAATTAAACAAACGAATTAATTACATTCTATTCTTTCTACAAATCTTGCTTTTAACCACTGACAAAAACTGTTTATCGAAATAGAAAACTCATTATCAGATATAAATTTCTTGTTTTTATTGAAATTCATGATTATTTATAATAATATTGATGTTAAAAATGAGACATGAAATGAAATAGACGAAAATATATTAAATATATCAATCAATCAAAACCACATAATAAGTCCACAACCATCTTTTTCAACAAAAACATATGGTTGTTCATCTAATGATAAATTAAGAATACGCTTTCGTAATTTTTCAATAAATAAACAATGTTCCTTGTATGCTGCAACAGTATCATAAGAATTTTGATGATAAATACGTCGAAAACAAAAAGAGAAATCGAATAAATTTGGTGTTATCTCTGCAATGATTTGACAACTTGTATCATCTGGAGGAATATGCATTCCATATAAAAGTATACGTAAAGATTTCAACAATGGTAAAATTGAGAGTGAATGTAAAGCAGTCCAATCACCAGTTGCAAAACGAAGACATTCATAATGAAGAATGATTTGAATAGATCGAATATTTAACGAAAGTGAACAACTATTCAATGAATCCAAACTATCGATAAGAATAAGATGAGAAACATTAGGTAAATTCATAGACACTTGTCTATTACATCGAAATAAATAAAGTTCGACTATCTTATTTGAATTCATTATTTGAGAGAAGAATGTAGTAGATGATGCACGATTATCTGACATATTCAATTTAATTAAATTAGACGAATAGATTTCACTAATTGAACAAGATTTAAATACTTCTAATTGATAAATACATCTATCTGGAACACTTAATTGAAAAAATTCATTAAAAGTCCATGGTAAACTATAGAATAGATGTTGTCGAATTTTGGGTTTCCTTGCCTGAAAAAACAACAGAATATTAAAGGAATAGTCTAAAACTGAAATAATCTTAAATTTACATAGATTTGACTTGGAGTTGTGAATGGTTGATTATCAGGCCAAGAATCAGAAATAAATGTTGCACTACCTGTTTGACGAGGATGACATTGATTACCATATGGGACATAATTAACAAGTTCTATATG